CATAATGTATGCGTTTGTGCACACACAAAAGACATTCACACACACTCTTTTGCACTTTTTCTCTGCGTGTTTCTCACAAACACTCATGTGCACACACACACACACACACACACACACACTGACGCAGACCTCTAACAGCCTTCAATCAGCAACAGTGCCATGCAGAGATGAGAGGACCACACCTCGTTCAGAAAACAACTGAAATCAGTTTAAGGACACGTATTACCACGGTGCTCCTTGTCTGCCTCCCTCCTCCTCCTCACCTTCTCTCTCCCCCCATCCTCACTTTCTCTCTCTCTCTCTCTCTCTCCTGCTCCCTCTATCTCCTGATTTTTATTTTTCATCGTGTACCACCTGAGCTCTTCAAGGTTGCCGCCACAATTTGGGTCATTCAGCTCGGCCCCATTTCAGCCACCCCACACAGACACACACACGCACACATGCAATCACACACCTCCCCCTCTGTGTATTACCTGACACTGCCAGGTGGGAGAGACTCCATTACCGAGTTGAACTCTGACCCCGCTTCGACTGCCTGGCCAGAGACGAGAGATGTGTGGTTTCGCGTGTGTGTGCGTCTGTGTGTGTGTGTGTGTGTGTGGCAGAGGAGAAAGAAAAAGAGGCGAGCAGCTGAAATGAGGCCAGCCTAAATGTTTGTGCGTCAATGAGCTTACACATTTGTTTGTGCGCGCGTGTGTTTAGGCATGTGTGCAGGGGTGGAGGTGGAGCTGGAGGGCTCTGCGTGTCTCAAATGACACCTCTGGCCATTATTAAGTCCACTTTATTCTCCAGTCTCTGGCACATTTTCCTCTCTCCATATGTTCATATTTTTCTCCTGAACCCAGGTCCATAACAATGTTTGCACACACACCAGCATCTTATTAACATTCAAGAAATCCAAGTTGAGTCGAACTTTGGGAGTTGGCTCACGTAAACATCAAATCCCTCTCACAATAACCTGGAAAAGCCTTTATTTTGAATATGAAAAAGCACAATGCATCGTGGTGAATGTTGATATTTGCCTGGAAACTGGCACAGAGTTTTACCCCATCCTGTTATTTTTTATGATAATTGCTATATCAAGTTAGAATTATCTGTAATTTGCCAATTAAGGCATACAGGCAGAGGTGTAATTAAAGTGTCAGTTGAACCAAATTAAAAATAAAACATATTTGCTCACTTACTTTCCAGTGGTTTATATCCATGTAAATACTTGCAGTTTTATTTATCCAGATTTTCAGACACTCCTCTTTATGACTCCTGCCTCTGTGCCAACACAATGCAGGTGAATGAAGCGGTGTTTATGGTTCTCACAGCATTGAGAAATTACATTCAAAACACAACTTCAAACGCTCAGCATTGTTCCAGTTTCTCTGCGTGACCTCACCGTGGGCGTTTTTTCTTTACAAACTGCCAAAGAAAACTGTTGATAGTTTGGTGCAAACAAAATTCCATTCACCTCCATTGTGTTGCTGCGGAGGCGGCAATCTCTACCTTAAATCAGCCTTGAAGTAATGACCTTTGAAAAACGATTTTAGCAGTGGGGCAGAGTAACTAAGTAGATCTACTAAAATACTGGGCTTCGGGTCAGGATTGAGGTGCTACATATTTTAGACATCGGATTGCTTTAGTTATTTTTAAATTTCTCACATGCTTTTTAACTAATGTTAAAGGTTACACCAAAGAGCATAGTGTGGTCAGGTCAACATTGGAGATGATTTGTTAACACCTCTCTTAAATTATTACATGATTTCCTATTAATTAATGTTACCAAGCATCAAAGATTAGAGGAAACCAAAAACAGATTTGTGTATCAGAACTTTGTTTTTTGGTTTCCTACGCATTAATCAACTCATGACCCCTCAGCCTCAGACACCGATGCTTCACTAATGATGTCATATAGAATAAAATATCACTTAGAGAGGGCAAACCTGCACTTTTACTTTAACATTTTAACAATGTTTTGCTGCTAATGCTTATGTACTATTGCTTAAATATGATTTTAGAAATGGTGGAATTGTTATTTTTAGTGTTTTTACATTTCTATATGGGGCTGCAAGGTGGCGCAGTTGGTAGCACTGTTGCCTCGCAGCAAGAAGGTTGCCGGTTCGCGTCCCGGTGGGGGCACCAGAATCTTTCTGCGTGGAGTTTGCATGTTCTCCCCGTGCAGCGTGGGTTCTCTCCGGGTTCTCCGGCTTCCTCCCACACAGTCCAAAAACATGTTGAGGTTAATTGGTGATTCTAAATTGTCCGTAGGTGTGAATGTGAGTGTGCTTGGTTGTCTGTCTCTAAGTGTAGCCCTGTGATAGACTGGCGACCTGTCCAGGGTGTCCCCTGCCTTCGCCCTAAGTCGGAAGGCTTAGGGCGATAGGGATAGGCTCCAGCCGCCCCGCGACCCTAGTGAGGATTAAGCGGTGTATAGAAAATGGATGGATGGATGGACATTTCTATATTTTATATAAAATCCCTCTCCAGTTGTTGAGTTAACCTTTAATCTCTAAGTTACATATGTCGAATTATTTCCATGAAAATAATGGTTTAGATAAATCTTTTCACTTCCTCTACAATGTGCAGCTCACCTGTGGCTCTGCTTAAACACTGTAAGACGACTTTTCACTACACAATGACAAGTTGCAATATTGTGGTAATTCAGCCACACACATTGGAACTGGAAGCCCATTCTGAAGAATAAAAATCACAGACGAAGCCCCACGCCACAAGCTGACAGAATTTAGGTTTGTTACATATGAGAGCCAGGCTGTCTGAATATGTGTTTTTCAGACTGTCATCAGGTGGAAATGCTCCTCCCATGCCTATTTTGCTCATGGTGGGTCTTCTAGCATATAAAAAACACACCACATCGACATGTTAACAAGGTGCAAAACCTGATTTTCCACTGGAGAAAGTAGTCTGAGTACTTCTTCCACCGCTAGGTATTATGAATAAGTATCTTCTATTGATTCAACCTATACTCACTGAAGGCCTCAGTAAGTAGGATGGAAGGTAATGTAGGAGTAGGTGGTTTGAGATCGGCAAGAAAAGCTGGGAGGTAGGCATAAGTGGTGACAAATGAACTGACGGAACAGAAAACAAGGAAAGAATGTCTCCTACGTAACTCAAGTTTCGAGAACAGAAGCTCAAAGGAAAAGACACGGCGGTAGGATTCTGCCTACACTGTGTGACTGACAAGTGGGAAATTTAACGCCAAAACAACAAACCGCTGTATATCTCAGAGTCAGAGATGCAGAAAATGTTGAAAAAGCAGAACAAAAAAATACAATGTCTTCGCAATCTAATCAGGACAGGAGCTACTAGCCAAATTGTTGTTCCTTCCTATGTAGCGCCGCGCTCCTCAGCCCTGTTTACAACATAATCCCCCTAAGCAGCGCACCATGATATGGGAAAAAGAAGAAGAAGAGGAGGGAAGGGGAATTTTGGCTAATGTGTACTGAAGAGTGTGGGAGAGTTTCTGCTCCTCTTTCATCCTGGCTTTTGCACTGAAGCTGCAGGCGTCTCCTGGTGTGAGCTCTCCATCGAGGCAGAGCAACAGCCCCCTTCTGTTTTCTAAATGTGGCCTCCTGCCTCTCTCTATGCCATGCCAAGGCTGCTGTGATGGGCGGAAAGAGGGAGAAGGGTTTCCTCTGTGTGTGCGCAAGGGTTTGTAGGGGTGTCTGCTTGGAGAAGAGGGGGAAGAAAAAAAAACATGTATGTACGCTGCATATGGGTGAATTTTTATTATGCATTCCGCAGCTCTGGCTGTATGTGCATTTGTGTGTGTTTGAAGTTGGGGGAGGTGACTGTGTGACAGAGCGCATTTGACAGAGGCAGGCAAAATGGTAGTCAGATCAGTCGCCGTGGTAATTGGGCGCTCTTGACGTTGTCATTTGCAGCGCCTGGAGATGCCATTACAGCGTGTGTGTTTGTCACTGTGCGTTAGTGTGTGTATACGTGCAGCATCTGTGTATGTGTACAACATGCTTTAACTGCTGCTTCATATTAGGCAGCCCTCAATAACTTAAATATATGGTTCCTTTTATATAGCTTCAACAAGGATGTCTTGTCATAAATGTGTAGGTGCACGCACGTGTGTTTATGCAGATCTGTTCAGTAGTTAATAAGACAAATCCAATGCATGAATATTTAATGGTGACATGTGGCCCATATGGAGCATCAACTACACCGCCCACACACACATAAACATAGACGTGCCCTAATTGTCATGAAAAGCCATTACACACAGCTGATGTCAAATCTGTCATGACTTGAGTACCTCAGTGAGAAGGTTTTCTTCTTAGAACATGTATGTTTTCATACCCGTTTTATAAAAAGTCACAGATTTTTTTTACATGAGTTGCACTGCTGCGCCCCACTTTTTCATTTAGTTGCAAAGTTTTGCAACTTTTGGCGGTGTAACCTGTGTGCCTCTTTTTTAAAAAAAATGTAATTAATTAAATTTTTTTTTTTTAGAGATGATGAAATACTTTAACATAAAAAAATATATAAAAAAATGTGAAAATAAATGCAAATATGCTGTATGGAAAACGAGAATATTTTTAGGTGACATCAAGACAGTAAAACAGTGAAATTTATTATGGTCGTCATTGTACAATTTAAACAAATTAAAATGTATAATAATACAGATTTTTTTATGTAAACATTATTTCCAGGCTTTTTCTTTTTACAGTCAACACACCAATTAATACGTTATTTAAAATTCAACTATATAAATAGTTTTATTTTACAGTCAAACATTGTAAAAGAACAAATTGCCATTTATATAGTATTGATGTGGGCATTATTTATAGTTTTGGTCTGTTTTTTTGTGTAAATTATTACTTTTTGGGAATTTTCCTTATTATTATTCCTTATTATTATTATTATCTGTAATTTAACAAAACAAGGATAATCTGTAAAATCACAGTAAATTGTTAACAAAAAAATAAATCAGTTAAGCACCTTTTTTTCTTTTTCTTTTTCCTTTTTTATTTTTTTCAACACAGTGTGCATTGTGTTGCTATGAAGAGGACGCCGCGACACACCATGATCTCTTGGAGGTGAGCTCTGTTTATTTCTGACAATAACAAATGATAAAGGAAAACCACCATGTAGCTGCCTGTTCCAGCCCCTCTCCCACAGGAGAATAGCACAATAGAGCCGAGAATGTGCTTTGACAATGGGTCTGGAGCTAGTAGCAGGGACTAGTGGTGAGTTTATCACTGACTGGTCAACAGTGCATTCATAATTACAGAAGGCTACAGGCCTCTCTCTCTCCCAAATGAAACCATCTGCTGACCTTTCGCCTAACCAGAAGTGACCCGATGCCCCACGTCTTTGCTCAGACGCGGGACATCAGCAGTGTTTACAGCTGGCATATCAAATGAGATGTGATGATACTGTGTTACTGCAGGAAAAAGACAGAGCGCCGCAAGTTAGCAAATAGAAGTAAACACCATTATCTGAATGGAGTAACAGCAATCAAAGGGCACTAAAACATCCCAAAATACACACTTTATAATTCACGATTGTTTCAAATGAGGCAGCAGGCAAACAAATAGTCTACTAAACAAGCATGGACAAATGTCACTAATATGTGCTGTGCTCATCTTGTACTCCAAATATTATGAAGCAAAAATAGAACAGCAAACTTATTCAATCCTACATGCCAGCCACAAACTAGAAACACTTGTTAGTCTAAGCACTGCTACCAACTTTCTCAGTTAGTTGCACCAGCACAGGAATGAGTCACACCCCACAGCATGGTATTAATCAGCCTTGCACACTGATGAATGCTCGTCTTTGAATACTCTAGTTTTGCACTGACAGTGACTGGACAGCGACTTGAGATTTAATGTTTGCAACAAAATTGAATCTGAAAATATGATTAATGTTGTCACCAGTCTTTTTCCGAAAGGTTGTTTCATTGAATTGCGACAACTCCTTACTTGCTGTGTATCGATAGATGCTACAATTTAAAGATGTTCCCTAAATGCCTCACATGGGAGCCTCAGTGGAAGCCAGCTAGGTGACAGAGAAGCTTCTAGTCTCCTATCGGACCATAAAGTCACGTTCACAACAGTAAAATAAAGTGTTCTATAGTCAGGTTTATGGACAAGTGGAGTTTTTATGTGTGGAACACATTTCAAAAGTCAGTATTCCACTAGATCATGTTGATTTAATTGTGGGAAGCCAAAAATGTGATTGTTATTAATATTCATTTAATTTTGCTGCCTCTGTACCATTAACCATTGTGATTGAATGCAGTAGTTTTTCTTCTCCACTGTCTCAGTCGGTATCTCCCCTCCTGCACCTGCACTCTCAACGTCAGGAGCGTCTGAATCAAGACCTTTCTCACAGTCTCCCCCCCGCTCCATCTACATTTAGTATTTTCTTTATTAAATATTCAACTCCAGCCCGCTTCATCTTCGGAACACAGGAACAGCTAAGTGGGTTGTTTCACGTAATGAGCATCATGCACAACGTGACCATGTGAAAGTTGCATATTTTATTATCTAAGCAAAACTATGTTCCTTCTCAGATCTCAAACTAAATTATGTACAAATGTCAGTGCAAAAAAAAAACCCCCTGCAAATTAGTTGTTATTGCATTTATCGCAATCGTATTACGACTTTCACCCACTTGCTGACTTTTCCCTGCACTCCTTGTGACTACTCCGCCGTGTCTGCTTTTCACCTATAAGCAGAGTAAAATCAACCTATATACTCAGTAACATTTGCATATGTACCCTCAGACACTTCGATACAAACACAGATACTCTACGCTTTCTCAATCCCCACCTTTCTCTCTCTCTCTCTCTCTCTCTCTCTCTCGCCTCCCTTCCTCTATCTGTGTGTTTCATAATGTGTGTGTTGAGTTGACATTTTACCGTTCTCTCAGTGTCGGCCGCCATCTCTCGCTCTGCACCCCTCAGTAATTTCCCCACTGACTGTCTGCTATCTGCCTGTCTGTGCCTTCCCCTGCTCTCTCTCCCTCTATCTCTGCTCTCCTATATGAGATGGTATGCCTGACTCTCCTCCATTTTGTTGCCATGACCTCAATATAGTTTGTCCAGGGCCCATATTTCTGCTGTCTGTATGTCTTCCTGTTTATACAGTACGTCTGTCACTCGGGCCGGCTGTCTCTCGCTGGCATTTCTCTCTGTCTCTATTGATAATGAGCGCTGATCAATTGATTCGTTTGCTGACCTTTACAGACACAGACTGTTAGTCTGGCGTCGCTAGATTGAAAGTAATCAATAGTTCTCCATTAATGATTGAATACATTTTTTTTATTTTTTAAAGCGCAGAGCAGGGTTCAATTGCTGTCTTTAATGGTCAATAACAAAGCAGCCATTTGCTGATCATTTATATATTCATGTTAAAAATCCAATCATTATTCATAGTTTCCCTTAGAACTGTACCAGACTGGAAATTCCACTGAAGCAGCATTAGGCATGGTCCACTGAAACCTGCCGCGCTAAATCCACTGATACCGAGAATGATAATCACAATCATAATTAATTCATATACACTTGGAGAATATCTTATTATAATGTTATGTTACAGCTCAGTTGAAATAAATAGGGCTTTATAAAAAAAAAAAAAAATCGTCTCTCCAGAGGTTAATTCCAGTATTTTTCCATCAGAAGTGTTTAAACCCAACGAATGAGTTAAAAACTGTTCCACCAGACCTGAGCCCAAAATTTGCTTTAACCGCCTGTACGAGAGCTTTTTTCATGATCCTGATGTTTAAACTACATTTAATCAGCTCTCCAAAGAGATACAGACAGAAAGTTTGTAGTATGAGATAATGAGGACAAATGGATGGCTATAGCATATGTACTAATCAGCCACAAAATTAATACCACTGCTTCACTACTGGTGATGTGAATAACTTCAATTATTTAGTTACAATGGAAGAGGTTAAATATAGTAAATAGCTTATTAACAGGCAGCTCTTGAAGATGATGTGTTGGAAGCAGGAAAACAGCATCTGAGTAAGTTTGACAAGGGCTAAATTGTGATTGTAGATGACTTAGTCAGTGCACAACAGCAGGTTTGCAGTTGTTAGTACCGACTAAAAGTGGTCCGAAGAAGGACAACCAGGCACGCTGGTGGCACCAGTTAGACACTCTGGAAAGTGTTCTGCTGGGAAGCGTTCAGTCTTCCATTCACGTGGATGTAGTGTTGATACATACCTTAAACATTGTTGCAGCTCACAAGAACTCCTTCAAGGCAGCAGTGTTCTCTAAAGGCAGTGCCCTCTATCAGCAGCATAATGCTCCCTGTCAAGCTACAAAAATAATTCAGGAATGGTTTGAGGAACATGACAAAGAGTTCAAGGTGTTAACATGGCCTCCCCCAGATCTCTGTCTGATCAAGCATCTATGCTCTGCTATGTGCTGTAAAATCAATTCCCAACCACTGAGGCTTTACCTTGCGAATGTCCTGCTTCCAGAAAACACCTTTAGAGATACATGGACTCCATGCCTTGACAGGTCAGTGCAGTTTTTTCTGCACGAAGGAACCTACACAATACTAGGCAGGCACTTATCAGTGTATGTTGTGTCTGTTTAAGGGTTGTTGAAGATGTACCACAATGTTGCATTTAATGCTGTACAGTACTGAAGTATTTTTTAATATATCATGATTTTTATGGTCTATTTCTCAATATAATTTTTTTCCTGGAGGCCATGGACATTGGCAAGGATTAGATAAGAGGAAAGTACATTGCTCCGATGTGGTTCTTCCACTGATCTTGAGAAGTCAATTAAATAAACATTAAATAAAAGAAAGAAGAGTTAAAGTTGCCGACTCAAGTGTGGTACAGACAACAAAGGAATCACCTTTAACAGCATTTATGCGTCACACTGTTCCGTCAAAGGACTTGAACTAGGTTTGTAAAACCTATGAAAAATATTGAGTTAGATTTTGGGCTGTCAAAATAAACCTGACATGTAAATGTAGTCTCATCAATACAATCCATCCATCATCTATACACCGCTCAATCCTCACGAGGGTCGTGGGGGGCTGGAGTCTATCCCAGCTGACTTTGGGCGAAGGCAGGGGACACCCTGGACAGGTCACCAGTCTATCACAGGGCTACACTTAGAGACAGACAACCAAGCACACTCACATTCACACCTACGGACAATTTAGAATCACCAATTAACCTCAACATGTTTTTGAACTGTGTGGGAGGAAGCCAGAGAGTCCAGAGATAACCCACGCTGCCCAGGGAGAACATGCACACTCAATGCAGAAAGATCCCGGTGCCCCCACCGGGACGCGAACCGGTGACCTTGCTGTGAGGCAACTGTGCTAACCACCGATCCACCTTGCAGCCCATTAGTACAATCAATTATTCAAATATCCCAATCAATTCAGCTGCATCAGGTTGAGATGAAGATGTCAGACGAAGGACTGGCTCATATGTCAACAAACCTATTATCCGTCTGACCTTAGCAGACAAGTTGTTTTGATGTTCCTGTTACTGAGTGTGTTTGTTGGTTTGGTATCAGCTCCTTCTGCAGGAACTCCTGGTATCTTGAACCGTCAAGTTTCCATCTTTTTTTCGTCTAGTTTCAATCTAGTTTGGTGTATTTGCTCCTCTGCCTGTTTGTCTCCGTCTGTTTGCATTCTGCCGTTCTTACTCTCTGTTTATTGACCTTTGCTTTCTGTCTGTCTGCTCATCTGTCTTCCATGTTGTCCTCTTACCTCTCCACCTGTCTGTCCGACTCCAATTTACTTTTCTATATCTGTACCATCCAATCACACACCTTCGCCTTCACACATGCCTTCCTTAAACCTACACCTATACTCTGCTGGGGATGAAGCAAAACACAGGTCTCCTTCTATGAGTCAATCGTGTGTAGATGCACCTGTGCGAAAATGTGTTTGTCTATGTGCAGTTGTGTATCCATTGTTAATTAACCCCCTTCACCCAACTCAACCCCCCCAGGAGTGGCTGTGTGTTGAGCTCGCTCCCTGAGCCCCAGCCTGCTAATCCACACCTGAGTCTCCTGCACAGACACTCGCACGCAATCATACACAATCAA